CTCAGGGGGACAATAATTTTACACTACTTTAACCCCCTTCAAGGATATAGCCACGCGCCTTGCATGTATTTCAATATATTTGTTGTGTGTGTATCGTCGGATCATGAGTTTTCGGGCATCATACGTTTTCGGACAACCCTGTTTATCGCGATTACTAGCGAATAACAAGGGGTGTGGCGTCACACAGACATTGTAAATACTCAGATGATGACTTGTTTTTAATGTGAAGTTGTCTTTTATAAGTGAGTGAAATGTTTTACAGTTATTCATGTGATTAGCGACAAAACTATGAATGCTTCCGAAAACCAATAACATGGCAATATAACAAATATATGGTGCTTCTGTGTAACATAATAAATACTTTTTGCAGTTAAATTGTTTTGTTTTATGCATTTCTGTCTTGGTGTGTGAAAAACAGCAGATAGCATAATGGTCACATGACATTGGAATATCTGTTTGATTCAAGAACATATCAACTCTATACTCTACTGAAAACAATGTCCTGAACAGCGATTCCTTCTTTTGGACACAACCACCTGTATGCCTGGAAGACAGGCAGTATAAGGACAGAGATCATATGTGGGTCTCTGGCAAGGGTCACATAATATTATATAGCATCAAAGTCAGAGAATAGATTCCATTGTGCCAAGATGCCAAATAGTGAGGAAAATCATATGAATGGATCACTGTTAATCAGTGATGACACGGGGTGTTCAGCGGCCTGTAAGCAATCAAGTGATGCTGGACAAGACAATCCAGTGACATGCTTACTGAATTTGGTGAAGCTGAAAGCCATATTTTTATTTTAATTTACGTCTGATGCGTACGAGTGCATCTCGGTTCTGCTGCTTACAAGTAAAGAGAAGCACTGATATGCTCTTTTTGCAAAACTTGCTTTTGTCTTTTTATGTGTATTATTTGGTTTAGAGATCCGCCAACCCCAAAATGCAGAAATGTGGAAATTGTTTTAACTTACCGTTTTAAGTTTTAAATGCGGAGCCTGGGAAGCATGATAATAAATTTTAAAAATCAAATTGTGTTCCTTCTTGGCAGATAATATTGCCGATGTGACGTTAAACATTAGCTCACTCACCTGTTAAGATTGGTAGGAGTTGGAGTGGTCACAATTGGGAAAAGACAAACCCTATTCTTTTTTTTCATGATATCATCCATTTCAAGTTACAAATGTAATTCATTGCCAACACTCGTCAATGGTGTACACAACGTCAACTGGGGCAATCGTGGCTGGTCACGTGTCATGTTTTCAGACGAGTCCCTATTAATTTTGCAGACAGACAATTTATTTCAGTAACAGACCACCGGCCCATACATATAGATTAATATAACATGATAAATAACCAATGATGGGTTAAAGTATATGTATTTAACAATTTCAATCATGAAATAAAGGTTTCCGGTATCTCTTAATTTGTTGATGTTTGCCAAGAACACACCCTTAAAGTCAAGCATATCCTAGTTGGGCCCTGTGTTGTCCCAATTGTAAGAATTCAAATTCACACGTCTGCGCGGTACGATTACCCATCATCCCCCGATTCACTTTGCATATCCTTGATGAGCGTGGTCGTAGATCGGGTATTGTGCGGGGTGGCATCACTGAGACTGAACGACCCCTACTCCATGTTGTGAAAGGAAGTGTCACTAGACAGTACTACCAGGGGCCCGTTCCACAAAGCCATCTTAGCGCAACGACTGACGTAAGTCTATGTTAAAGTATTGGAATTACGTTCGTCTTAGCGTTAAGATCGCTTTGTGGAACGGGACACCTCTATGACACCCTTTGTTGTCCCGTTTACAAGGCGAGACTTTCCAGACGACAACGCCCGTGCTCACCATGCACGATTCGTCAATGCTCACCTCAAGCAGCACAACGTCCATAGAATGCCATGGCGAGCCATGAGACCAAACCTGGAGAGAAGGCTCGTATCAGAGACCATATGCCGATATAGGGTCTCTGCTCGTGTCGATGTCAGCAATACCTCACACAGGGTGGACTCCTTCACTGGTGCCAATGACAATCGTCTGGTTGTAGAATCCCGAGAGGAAGATGCCAAGCAAAGATGGTGCCATCTTAGGGACACCCTCCGCGCTGCTTCTTGCTCAGCCTTTGCGAAGAAGCAGAGTTAAACTCATGATTGGCTCAATGTCCACTGCTGCATCTCACCCCTTTCACTGGATTGTCTGGTCCATACTCGATTATTTACAGACCGCCATGAGGGCTCGGGTGGCCCAGTCGTCTAAGGTGCCGCGTTTCGCTGTGCAGAGTTGCGTCCCTTGGGCACGCCAGAAACCTATGGTTGTGGGTTCGAATCCCGGTTGGCCCCGATTATGTTTCTAGGTTTGTCAGCACCATATCCGTGCTCGTGGGTTTCACCGAAGTGGTAAACGTCTGAGACCTGCATCACTTCGGGTTTTCCTCCCACATTAAACTGACACGCCGTGATATAACTGGAACACTGTTAAAAGCGGCGTTAAGCCTAACTCACTCACTCACTCACTACAGACCGCCATATAGCTGGAAAATTGCTGAGTGCGGCGTTAAACAACAAACAAAACTGAGGAAAGGTACGCAACACAATAATAATACAAATTTATCCTATGGAGTAGACCCAGCGAGCTCTCGGGAGGCTGACGAGACCCTGTGCCGGAAACATCTGGTGTTAAGGTGCCAGATAGTCGCTTGTCCCCAATGCCACTGGGTTAACAGTCTTGGTCAGGTCACAGTTTAATAAAAGTAGTAAATTGATTCCTCAGTATTTAAATAAACTGTCTGCAAGAAAAGGATACAATATTTATTTCCTACAAAGCCAGGCATACGTAATTATTTTAAATAAAACAACAGCCTGATTATTTTTTCAGAAACAAATGAAATAACATTCAGTGAGTTCAGTCAACACTTGTTGTTTAGAGTTTCCTGATCAGTTAACCATGTTTTGTCCAACAACGAAATGAATTGAAATTTAGTTCCCTGTGAAAATCGAAAAAAAGAAAGTGTCCTCGAAAATTATTGACAAAAATAACTGCTTCAGACTAGTGAAAAAAAAGAGAGAGAAATTACCTGCCACAAAAATTACATTGTTGCAATGTGTTTTTCTTTACAAACAATTCAGGCTCACATGTGAAGATCCGGGTTAGAATAGGTCTGCAGCAACCCATGCTTGCCGCAAAAGGCAACTATGCTTGTCGTAATAGGCAACTAACGGGATCGGGTGATCCGGCTCGCTGACGTGGTCGATGCATGTCATCGTATCCCAATAGCGTGGATCGATGCTCATGATGTCAATCACTGGTTTGTCTGATCCATACTCGATTATTTACAGACCGCCGTCATATAGCTGGAATATTCCTGAGTGCAGCGTTAAACAAACAAACAAAATCATAGTTTTAAATAAAAGAATATCTGGTTTTGTATCTATATCTGAAAAGTTTCTAATCTTAATACAAAATCCCAGTCCAAGCCTTGTATAAAATATAAGATATAGGAACAGTAGCTGATTGTCAGTGCCATGGTATTCCGTGTATACAATATTACACAATATTACATTACAGTGTCGTGGTATGTCTTACATACATAGAGGATATTTCTTGTGTCGAGTGAAACATGCTATATTTCACGAGACATGTGGAATATCCTATTTATTATATACTTTTTGTGTACTTGTCTACCAGAAAATTACGTATTTCATTACAAATGTAAAACCTTGAAACGTAAATTCTCCCTACCTAACACACAGGGACGATTCAACGAAAATATTCTTGAAAACTAGGAGACCGCTGTTGGAACGTCAAGTAACAAAAATCGCGTTTTGCGAAACGACTGATTGAAATTTACAGTTTATGAGGAAACAGTTTCGAGAGAATAACAAACGACGAAAAATGAGATTAACTCCATAAACGACCTTGTCAATGTGGACCTAACGTAAAACGTACTAAACAGTTTGTGTTCGGGCTAGTCACTTACGACAAAGGGAGACAACTTAAGGGCCGGGGTGTGTGTGTGTGTGTGTGTGTGTGTGTGGTGTGGGGTGGGGGTTGGGGGGGGGGGGATAAACTCTTGTATGACAAAAGTTCCGTCAAAGTGTTATGTTCACTGCAGTGAAATATCCAATTCTTGACCCGGATCTTCACGGCCTCACAAAACGTACACACGTGTGATATATAGCACGCTCTCTATAACCAATGAAAACATGTCCAACGTATCGTTTAGCTGAAACTAAACCCTTTTCACGTTTCTATAAGTCTAAGGTTTATCGGTCTGTACTGTTGATTCACGCACCTGCCCATATCCGCTAGTTGAATACAATTCAGTACATAATCCTGAATTGACATCGCCATGCGGGTTCACCAAGATTGTAACTGTCTGATATCGTGATTTTAATTGCTCATATGATTGCATATATATTCTCAAGACTGGTCTACCATAAATTACCATGAATTATTTACTTTCCCTTAAAAAGTACTTACATACACTACCATAAGCCCGACTTTCATAGTCCATTCTCACTTCCAAGACAGTTGTACATCATAAAATATGCATTGCTCATATTCGTCTTTCAAATCTTTGTTATTGGGCATTTGGAAAAAAAAACATGAGCAAACTAAGAAGGTGTTTGCATAAAAATTTTTTAAAGCTGCCTGTTGCAACAGAGTACAAATATCTGGGGACTATCATCTGGGGACACAACCTTTTTAGGAGTATATGCGTACTCCTTCACCACCTAATAAAGGCGTAATTAAGCATATACTCCCAAACGTTGTGTTCCTCATAATAAAGAAGTTGACATCCATAAATTCTCTTCCTTATGTGTATCACTTAATCATTATTCATCATTTTAATTATATCAGCGCTTAGATAACAGATCCGTGTGTCAAGAACAGTCTGTATAGCATCCACGTGACTGATTTCGGCGAAGGTTATTGTCTCTTTGGTTAAACATGTACACAGTTATCTCCCTTTTTGTCGATTATTTCGTTTCGTTTCAGCAAAACATTATAGTCACGTGACAAAACCAACATGGCGCTGTGCTGTGCAAGTGAGTGTTAAAATCTTTCGCATTATCCTCACACGCTTTATTGTCAAAGAATCGTTGTATATCATGATCGGCTTTATATTTTAAAGTAGCAAACATTTTGAAATGTTTTGAACAAGTCTGTAAATGTATTCCTTTGTTCTATTCCATAATAATCGATGTCGCTTTGCCGGTTAGCCATGCAGCATGAGTTTGATTTCAAACAAAACATGGCGAAACGCTTAGATCTCTTCAGCAACGTTGTGAAACTGTATCATTCTTCTAAAATGCAAATAAAAAAAATATAGTAACTAATTCTGTAAATTATATCACTTTCCAGTGGGTCACTAAATAGTCTTATTCACATGTTCTGAATATTCGTGAATATGTCCCATATTTTCGTCAGTGTTCAGTTTTCGGTCAATTTTCAGTATCTTGTTATATCCAAATGTACTTGGAGTAAGCTGTCAACACTGTCGTTATGATCTCTCTGCGCATATTTTTAGTATAATTGTTTTAGTAAGTGTATATATCGTCGTGTTTTTTGAGTCCCCATGAAGTATTTTTTTCCGATTATGCATCAAATACCAATCACAATACATAAGTTTAAATCTTACCTCTGGGAACAATTGTTTCTGTTAACACACGGATGGTCAAATGACCAAAAAATAATTTTGATAATGCCTTGTTGAGAGCGACGAGTCTATCAGGTGCCATCTGTTAACCATCACATCCCTTCATTATCGTCAAGTTAAAAATACATGCACAACATGATCACACAAATACAGACAGGAAGTTTCAAACAGCAGCCGATATGTTATCGATACATATGATGCATGATATTTCCCTTGAGTTTTTGACTGAAAAGTTGATATCGCTGTACTCCTAGATAATTTCCCTATCTATCCAGACACTTGTCATAATTTTTTTTATATTTTATCACGATTGAGCGTGTTGAGGAAATAACATGAATAACAGACCAGTAACCCATTCACTTCATGTTTCGACAATAGCGAGCTGACATGTTAACATTGTGTGTGCATGCACTACATTTCTATAGCATCTTTCTGTATGGGTTTTCTACAAGCTATACTCTCTGCCAGCGGAAATCATGTTGTTTTGCACCCTTGCACGAAGGATGCATTTCAAGTTTATTTGTATATACCATATATGATACTGTACTCCTGTTGACAAATGCATATGAAAGAAAAACAACGCTATCTTTGTTTTCATAGTTAATGTAAATAAGTCTCAATATCAATGTTTTACAGTCAGTTAATTCCCTAGCCTTTGGAAGATGGTGAAATTGTTACCTATTTGTTGTGTTTCTATAGGAATAAAATAAATGACAAGAAAATATACTCAGCTTTCTGTTTACCATATTTACAGTTAGCTTGTGCTTAGGTACATAGAAATTATGCAAACAGCCTGCCACTAAAGTAGCACTATAGCTATGATGACTGACTTATTTTGGGGATAAAACAACTCAACATGGAGTTAGATGATGATCTTGAATTCATGTATCTCTCGAGATGATTACCGGTAACCTGCTCAAGTTGACAACAGTTTGAATGCTTGAACCATGAGATGATGTAGATGCAGTGACAGTCGTTCTTTGTCTGATGTTGAATGACATCTTGTTGCAGTTAGTAATGAAGTACCCGAGCATCCAGTGCTCTCCCCAGTTTCCGGCCATGTGTTTGAGCGCCGCCTGGTGGAGAAGTACATCCAGGATCATGGCAACGACCCAATGAACGGAGAACAGCTGGCAGTGGATTTGCTGGTTGATATCAAAAGTGAGTTCCGATTGAAAGCCATGTCGGTTCAGTAAACGTAGTTGTTGTCATGGTCATAATTCATAATAATTGAATAACTTAATTAGTGTTATTACCCAAAGGGTTACAAATAACCCAAGTTCATAAAATTATTTGGGCACAAGTGCAAATATCATTTCTCGCGCACCAGTGTATTGTTTCCATCATCCGGATGGCATTGTTGAGGTCATTCGAATCTCACTGTGACGTAAGGACGGAATGACATCACACTAGAAACGTCATAGCTGTAAATTGTTGACATCATTCGACAAATTGTGGTTTGTCTAGGACAGTGGTGGTGATCAGTGCATTTTTTTTAAAGCTTAACAAATAAACAATTAACAAATAATAATAACAAAATAATTACACTTGCTCTCGCTCGGGAAATAGAAGAATTCTGACAGTCGTTTCGTAAAATCATTATGACACACATGCTCGGATAATAATCTCTATTCACAAGGACTATCACACAAAGGTGATCCCCTAATACTAGCAATAGCTGGGTGGGTTTGTGAGATCTTCATGGAGAGAGGCCCATTTCTGGTGTCCCCCACCTTGATGTTGCTGGAATATTGCTAAAAGCGGCGTAAAACCATACTCACTCACTCACTCATGGAGAGAGAGGTAATATAAGAGTAAAATGTCCGAAATAAATGTGAAATTTGGTCAATGTATCAATTTGTTTACGTTACGTTCTGTCTTTACTTGTACAGCAGATAGACTGTATGATGAAGCATGAACATTTTATTCTGTGATGAATCTTCAGACACATGTCCAGTGAGTTTGCTAAGACACACACCATCACCGAAGACCCATGAAGATCGGGGGTAGAATAGATCTTCAGCAACCCATGCTTGCTGTGAAAGGCGACTATTCTTGTCGTAAGAGGCGACTAGCAGGATCCAATTGCGTGGATCGATGCTCATGATGTCAATCGCTGGATTGTCTGACACAGACTCGATTATTTACAGACTGCCGTCATATCGCTTGAATATTGCTGAGTGCGGCGTTAAACAACAAACAAACAAACCATCATCAAAACTGTAAAATATCTTCAGCATGTTCAGGACATTTTGGATCACAATCACTCTGTCAAAGAATATTAATCCTCCTGAACCCCTGCACGTCTAACATTAGGCCATGTTTCCTTAATCTAGTGCCTGTTAACATGCTCAAACAGTTCTTGCAATTGGTGGAAAGCAAGTTTTGTCTAAAGCTTGTAAAGTGAAAAAGAAGTGAACATGGTGGTCTGAGAGATGCTTCATTTGCTGTAATGCTCATTGATCCATTGACCGGGGTAATAATAGTGTAGCGCTATGAGCATCCACTTGGTGAATGGAATCTGGCGCATTATAAATGCTATTATTATTATTATCATTGTTGTTGTTGTTGTAAAGAGCAGATGGGTTCAGGCTCTATGAGGTGTTTCCCCCGCATCTTTCATGTTAAATTAATAATCTCTATGATATTTTTACAAGTTGTTACATCTAAGTAGACACAATTTATGGATAACAACTTCTTTAATACTGTAAAGGCGACGTTTCGGTATCCATAAATTGTGTCTACTTTGTCATCCATCAACTTCTGAGTAATGCCTATCAAACAATTGTTACATCTATTTCAGCTTCTCCACTTGTTAAGCCCAGGCCCCCATCAGCAACAAGTATTCCGGCCATTCTGAAAGCACTTCAAGATGAATGGGTAATTCTGAATTAGCATTTCAATTTCTGCATCAGCTCATCTCATCTCATAGACATGGCCAGGATGCTATATCTCCTTCGATAACTATACACACAACAATGTGTCTACTATTTTGCACAATTTGCCTACAGTTGACTTAAAAACAATGTTTTTCGTGTCCAGTTGTTCTACAGCGCAGGTGACCCTGTGGCCTGAAGCATCACAATTTGACCAAATACCGTATTCGACGTAATAAGGGCCCAGGGCGCTTTCAAACTTAGAAATAGGGGGCTCGTATTAGAATATTATTTTGGTGAAAAACAACAGAGTTGAAAGATCATAAATTTCGTGGGTTATGCTGACAGTCTGAAATATTTGTATGCAGATATATTCTTCCAGAATTTAATTTCCCATAATTAAGGATGCATATAACACACATATTATACATGAATAAATAAGTCTTGTGTACATTGATCAATCGGAAGGGGTGCTAATTGGGATTGTTCACCAGCCAATATATTAGCAAATATTGCCACTGGAATACTGTTAAAGGCAGTGTTGAACCTAACTGAATCACTCACTCTTGATATGTAAGGGACACAACTCCTGTTCCCTTAATGCCTAATTGAGAACGTATTGGTTAGCAAAGGATCAGCAGAGGATTCTATCTGATTCTTTAAACTGGGGAGCTTTCTTCTCAATGTCTGTACAGTCCAATGGCTAGCAGTGATGTGATCATACATGACATCGCCACTTCGGGTAACATGGTAGCTGTGTGAGGGCATATGCCACACAAATGGTTGGTACAACAATTTCTACAGCCAGGACCTCTCCCGTCTGCCTAGTCAGAAACATCAGTAAAAGTATGTAGGTGCTAATGCAGGACAAGTATCCAAATCAGTGGTAGAAACTAAGAGTTTTAGTTTACTAGTCCTTATAATGATAACATAGCAAAACCCTTAAAAAAGGCAAATTTCGACTAGTCCTTATGATACATTAACTATTGGGCAGTTTGGCAAGGACTACAGGACTGGTGCCAATTTCTAGCACTGCAAATGTAAAACATATTTGGATTTTACTTATTATGACTGAAGGACTGTTTGAAGCTGGGGCAAACCACCTCACTTAATTGCTCCAGCAGTTGGAACAATTCCTGTAAGTCTGCTCCCTCCTAACTGAGTCCTTGTTTCAGGATGCTGTCATGTTACACAGCTTCACACTGAGGCAGCAGCTGCAGACCGCCAGGCAAGGTGAGCTATACATATTTACATGATGACAGCCAGGCAAGGTGAGCTATACATATTTACATGATGACGGCCAGGCAAGGTGAGCTATACATATTTACATGATGATGGCCAGGCAAGGTGGGCTATACATATTTACATGATGATGACCAGGCAAGGTGAGCTATACATATTTACGTGATGATGGCCAGGCAAGGTGAGCTGTACATATTTACATGATGAAGACCAGGCAAGGTGAGCTATACATATTTACATGATGATGACCAGGCAAGGTGAGCTATACATATTTACATGATGACGACCAGGTAATGGTGAGCTATACATATTTACATGATGACGGACAGGCAAGGTGAGCTTTACATGTTTACATGATAAAAACATAAGGGAGATCATGTTGCCTCGGGATAAATGCATTTGATATTTCCATAACCCAGATCACGTTAAATACTTTGTAAACTTGCACCATGAGAAACCCTGGATCAATAAAATGCAAATATTTGTGTTCCTTAAGATACATCAAAGTAAGAAAATCACTAGACAATCCTGCACAGTTAGTTCTCGACCTAGACAATGAAGAAGTATCATGTGTTGCTCCTCTGTTGATAAAGAAAGCAAGAAAATAAAACACTTGAACTGCAGTATTGGGTTACTTCCCTTGATGGCATTCCCTATCAGTGACCTTTGGACTTTGATAAGTCTAGTGTTTCAGGAAGAGTGATTGTGATGGCTAGTATCTCAATCAGTGTAATGTTAAACTTCCAAATCGTAACCAAATTATAGATATTTGAATGTGTCTGTCATGGTTGAGATATGTTCAGAGATTATTAGTTATAACTGATGTGCTCTGTCAGCACCATACCCGTTCTTGTGGGTTTCACCGAAGTGGTAAACGTCTGAGACCTGCCATCACTTGGGGCTTTCCTCCCACATTAAGCTAACACGCTGTGATATAACTGGAATACTGTTCAAAGCAGTTTTAAACCCAACTCATTCACTCACTACACTGTTAGTGTATAATAAGTATACCTTGTGTGTAATGAGTGTATGATTGGTGTATAATGAGTGTATACTTGGCGTATAATTAGTGTATGCTTGGTGTATAATGAGTATACTTTGTGTATAGTTAGTGTATACTTGGTGTATAATGAGTGTATACTTGGTGTATGATAAGCATACTTTGTGTATAATGTGTTTATGCTTGGTGTATAAGTATACTTAATGAGTGTATGAATGTATACTTGGTGTATAATGAGTGTATACTTGGTGTATAATAAGTATGGTTGGTGTATAATAAGTGTATACTTGGTGTATAATGAGTGTATACTTGGTGTATAATAAGTATACTTGGTGTATAATGAGTGTATACTTGGTGTATAATGAGCGTATACTTGGTGTATAATGAGTGTATACTTGGTGTATAATGAGTGTAATTATTGTCTTCTATTTTCAGAGTTGTCCCATGCCTTGTACCAGCACGACGCCGCCTGTCGTGTGATCGCCCGTCTCACCAAGGAAGTTACGGCTGCCAGAGAAGGTATGTTAGAGCTCCAGATAGGCAAACTAACCCCCATGACCCAATTAATTTGGTGTTGCTTGCAAACAAATACGCATAAAGAAATTTGATAACTCAATACTATGTGAAGAATGACTCGAAAGTTTCACCTAAGTTAATTTAAAGTACAAATGGTAGTATGAGAAGAAAATGATGACACTTATCTGTATTAATATACTATTAATATCATCTTTTGATCATGTTGACAATGTTCTAACATGCCGACGTGTGTGATGGTGTAGTCTTGTCGTGTTTCAGCCTTGGCCACACTGAAGCCCCAGGCTGGTTTGCCAGCAGGGCCCGGAGGATACCCACAACCAGCACAAGCACCGGTAAGTTGATGATTATTACTGAACCACATTGGATGCCACCCAACCCTAAATCAGTGGCTCCGTGGAAATCCGGGGTCTTCAGCAACCCATGCTTGCCGTAAAAGGCGACTATGCTTGTCATCAGAGGCAACTAACGGGATTGGGTTGTCAGGCTCGCTGACTTGGTTGATGCATGTCATCAATCCCAATTGCCTGGATCGATGCTCATGATATCAATCCCTGGATTGTCTGGTCCAGACTCGATTATTTACTGACCGACGTCATTTAGCTGGAGTATTGCCGATGCGTCATATAGCTGGAATATTGCTGAGTGCGACGTTAAACAACAAACCAACCAACCAACCAACCATAATCAGTGATCCATAGGGGCGGTCGGGTAGCCTAGTGGTTAAAGCGTTCACTCGTCACGCCGAAGACCCGGGTTCGAATCCTGACATGGGTACAATGCGTGAAGCCCATTTCTGGTGTCCCCCGCCCTGATATTGCTGGAATATTGCTAAAAGCGGCGTAAAACCAAACTCACTCACTCACCCAGTGATCCATAACCAACAGTCTTGGGAGCAATATCCCTTCAGCTCTGATTTTGCTGGTATATTGCTGAGTGAGCATTAAGCAGTGGACAAAATCATCTGATCTGCTGAAATGTCATAAAGCCTGCGCAGTGACTACCTGTCATATTTCGTCGGTTATATTGCCATGGTTCTTATCTTCAGGCGTACGCTGCAGAAGCTGGTCAGGAGGGGATCCAGCCCGACAGTCAGATGGAGGAGGTCGGCATGTCAGAGGAGGTCATTCAGAAGGTCAGTATCTTGATGCCTGTGTTTCGACTTCCTGCAGTGACGCCAACCATTACAATTTGTTGCGATATTTTTAACCAATTTCTGCCAATACTATTACGGGAAATATCTTGGAAATTTTAACCCATCGAGTTAGATACCAACATGTTATTGTATATTTACTGTATTATTAACGTTTAATCAAGCAGTCAGTGCAAGTTAGTGGTTGTTACTGTATAATAGATTGACTTTATTTCCAGATTATTCCTGAATTTGTTTATCCTTGTTTATAACAATCTTGTTTTGTATTTTGTCGAGCTCAATGTCATACTTCATGTTAGTTCATGGTGTTTTATATCAACATCTTTTCTTTTCCTCCCAGCTGTCGGACCGAGCTACACTGCTTACAGCGGAGCGTAAGAAGGTATGTTTGTAATTTAACAGTGTTTGTTGGAGGATGTATTCAATGTATTTTGAGTTTGGAAGTGGGAAATATACTAGTAGCCTAATATATGTCTGTAGATGTTTAATGGCTGAGTTTCTTGCAATAACTCATCCTTATTGGCTCTCGGTTCCTTCAATAGTATCAAAGTTACTGTAGACCTAATGAACTATCTATACTCATCATGTTTATATGGGGGCGGTCGGGTAGCCTAGTGGTTAAAGCGTTCGAAGACCCGGGTTCGATTCCCGACATGGGTACAATGTGTGAAGCCCATTTCTGGTGTCCCCCGCTGTGATATTGCTGGAATATTGCTAAAAGCAGCGTAAAACCATACTCACTCACTCACTCACTCACTCATGTTAATATTGAAACATGGAACTTCACATGTGTGAACTTGTAAGATTGTAATCAAGTATGTGACTTACTTCACACAGGTTTGAAAGACCTTAAAATTGAAACTGAGTTCTGTATGATCACAGATTGTCTGTGCCCATGACTGCCCTCATCATTGTCTTTCATCTTGTCTCTTTCGCAGAGAGGCAAAACAGTTCCCGAGGGTTTGGCCACGACAGAAGACATCCGTCAATACAGACAGCTGGCTTCTCACACTGTAAGAAGATGTGTTATTAAATCAAAATATTTTGGTCTTTTGTTGCTTAAATTAAGTTTGTTTTCAACATGTCAAAGTACATTCTATAAGAAATATTTATTTGGGTGAATTTTTGGTAAGTGCTAGTTGTACTAGGCTGTGTGAAATGTTCTTTCAGTGTATTAAAAAATATATAACTTTCTTGTGTCCACTTTGGTTGTTTTGCTTCATGTAAATGTCTTTTACACTGGTACCTTTGTCGCTCTAGATGTTTCTCTTCTGATAGTCTTCTGTTCTTGTAACACTACAGTGAATATAGAAAGATTAATCCTCTGTATTGAAATGTCTTTGTTATTCCCAACTCGACAACACTGTTTCTGATATTGCAGGGTCTTCACAGCGCCAGTGTTCCTGGTATTCTATCGATGGACCTCTGTCTCCGGGATACGTCCAGGATCGTTACAGGTGAGACAGACAGTCGTTTCATTGCATGTCCAGCTGTGATAACCATCTGAATTAATAACCAATTTCGGTTCATACTTTCTGTAGACTGGAGTATCTGCAAAATACTTTCAAAGGGCATTGATTTATGCTATTGGCCATCTTCTCTTCAAACCTTTGAAATAAGACAGTTTGTCATGCATTCTTGATTAATAGTTCCAAATGTCAGTTTTGCTATTCTGCTTTTTTGGAATTCTAAACCAATCCTTACCTTCCTGCAGAAGCAGCCTGTCTAGTTGAAACAGAGATTAACCAATGAATTGAAGTATTGCAAGTTTAAATGTGTCATTACGATACAAAATATGTGTACATGTTTTTGTTCTGTGTCTATTTTCCAATGGTAGTATTTTCAAATAATCTGGCCTCATAACCACTCTGGTTAACATTACCTGACTGTCCAACGTAAAACAAAGTGGTGTGAATCTGATTGCATGATAGCGTGATTAGAACAAGCCTACTTTAACACGTTTGACCCATGAAAATCCGGGGTAGAATAGGTCTGCAGCAACCCATGCTTGCTGTAAAAGGCGACTACGCTTGTCGTAAGAGGCGACTAATGGATCTGGTGGTCAGGCACTCTGACTTGGTTGATGCATGTCATCGTATCCCAATAGCGTGGATCGATGTTCATGATGTCAATCACTGGATTTGAGACCAAACCACGAAAGAGACAGGCTGCACATGGATTTCTCAGTTGGAGAATAAATCCCTTTTGCCCCACTTTGAAGCAAAAAGCCGAACACTTTTTCCTAGTCAATGAAAGTCACATGACATAGCACAAGTTAACCTCAGTTCAATCAAACAGCTGTTTTCTATCCGTTTTAAATTTGTTGAATTCCGTCTCATTGTATAAAACCTCATGTTGGATGCATTAAACTCCATGTACCCCTCGTGATACTGCTACAACTTATAGTATCACATAGATATCGATACCTGATCATGCTGAGGTAGCCGTGTTGTGACACCCCTAATGAGTCTGACACCAAAATGCCATGTGTTCCAGGGGGCAATGACAAGAACGCTGTGGTGTTCAACAAGGACACGGAGCAGGTGATGGCCATCCTGAAGGGACACACCAAGAAGGTCACCAGCGTCATCTACCATCCAGAGGAGGTAATCAGCATCACCATCCTTCTGTTTACTGAACGATCTGTGAAGATCCGGGGTAGAATAAGTCTTCAGCAACCCATGCTTGCCATAAGAGGCGACTATGCTTGTCGTAAGAGGCGACTAACGGGATCGGGTAGTCAGGCTCGCTGACTTGGTTGATGCATGTCATCGTATCCAAATAGCATGGATCGATGTTCATGATGTCAATCACTGGAGTGTCTGGTCCAGATTCGCTTATTTACAGACCGCTGGAATATTGCTGAGTGCGGCTTTAAACAACAAACAAACAAACAAACAAACAAACAAACACATGGTACACATGGTACCTGTGTTATCTGGGTTTTCCCCACATTAAACTCGCCTGCGTTAAAATTACTGAATAGATCGAATGTCAAACTCACTCATTTCTTTACTTTCTCCTTCATCAGTGCCTGGGGGCACGGGTGGCACAGTCGTCTAAGGCGCCGCGATTCGCTGTGCAGAGTTGTGTCCCTTGGGCACGCCAGAAACCTATGATTGTGGGTTCGAATCCCGGTTCGCCCCAGTTATGTTTCTAGGTTTGTCAGCACCATACCCGTGCTCGTGGGTTTCACCGAAGTGGTAAACATCTGAGACCTTCATCGCTCTGGGCTTTCCTCCCACATTAAGCTGACACGCCGCGATATAACTGGAATACTGTTAAAAGCGGCGTAAAACCCAACTCACTCACTCACTCATTTGTGCCTGGTGCCCACTGATATGCAGGATTATGAAGCTAATTTAGCCTGATTCCATCACACACAGATCTTGTAGAAGCTTATATCATAATGCCATACACAGGATAACTGCAGTCACCCAGATATGTTTTATGACGTATCTTTGCTATGAAATATTGTACCACTCTCCAGTAATCACTGTTGGAATGAGATTGTCAGTATCGATATGTTATGGTGATGATGTTGTATCCAACATCAAACTGACCTGTTTCTGACTCTGTTTACCATCTGCTTCAGGAACTTGTGTTCTCGGCATCCCCCGACTGTACGATCCGAGTGTGGGGCATCACTACGGCCCAGTGCGCCCAGATCATCCGTGCCCACGACTCCCCGGTCACCGGCATCAGTCTCCACGCTACAGGGGACTTCCTGCTCAGCTGCTCACAAGACATGGTAAGCCGCTTCACCCCCTGGGTAGCTCCTACTGACGGACATGCAGGTGGGGGGGTAGCCGAGTGGTAAAAGCATTTGCTTGTCACACCTCAGGTTTGATTCCCCACATGGTTTAAATCCGCCTTTGAAATTCATGATATTCGACAAGACTGTGACAACTAAATTATGCTGAGGACAAGTAACAATCCAATGATGGTAGTCCTGTTACTAGTAGCATTTGAGGGCTATAGCTCTGAACTAGGTCTTAATGCTTCAATTTGGAAATTGGAGCTGAATATGACTAAGGGAAAATGTGAATAGTAAATTTTTTGTCTTTCAGGACTTGCAAACGTTTGAGGAAATTAGGTTTTCTATGACTTACAATGTGTGACTTTTTGTAGTTAATGTTTTCAATCAGTAATTGAACAGTCTGGTTGTTATTCTTGGAAGAAAAGTTGTTTTTCTTTATCTGTCAGCTGTACCTAAGTAAATACAATGTGTCTAACTGTTGTTGTGTTCAAGCACTGGGCTTTCTCAGACATCCGTACAGGCCGTGTTCTCACCAAAGTCTGCGACACATCATCGGGATCTGGTGAGTTCCTACTTGGCTAGTGCCACTCCCCACACTGATGTGTTGTTATGATGATAGTTTGTCCTCTTGTGTGCTTCCAATCTCCACGCAAGTAGACAGACCAACAGTACATGACATATTGTTAATGTGTTTTATTGATATGAGTGTATAGTGAGATTGCTTTCATGGCTCCTTTGGGAGAAAAAGCTTTATTTTCTCTATGTATATAGACTACATGTTTCTGACCCTAATTGCTTACCCTACCCTGGTGTCTGTGTGCTGGCGTGGGATGTGAGTGTCACACAAGGTGATTTTCTTGGTGTGGGAAGTGTCTTGCGAGGTGTGGGATGTGTCTCACAAGATGTCTGTGCCCTGATGTAGGGTGTGTGTGTGTGTGTGTGTGTGTGTGTGTGTGTGTGTGTGTGTCACACAAGGTGTCTGTGTCCTGGTGTGAAGTTTGTGTGTCTCACGGGGTGTCTGTGGGATTTGTGTGTTGTGTTGTGTTTTGTTGTGATTGTAGCTTAGTGTTTAAGACCAAGGTCAATTTACCAGTCCTGTAGTTGCAATATGATTATGATAGAGATAATTACATATGACTCATTCTTGGTGTCCCTCTCTGGATTCTGTAAGACCATCAAACTCAGTCTCTCTCCTTCCCTCTCTCCTTCCATCTCTCTTTTCTCTCCCTCCCTCTCTCACTCCTAGACGTGACTTCTAATGTTGTGTGTCTGCAGCCCCAGCGCTGACATGTGCCCAGTTCCATCCTGACGGTCTCATCTTCGGCACCGGCACGGAGGACTCGGTCATCAAGATCTGGGATCTGAAGGAGAGAACCAATGTGGCCAACTTCCCTGGACATCAAGGGCCCATCACCAGCATCGCATTCTCAGAAAACGGTAACTGGACAATTTTAATGTCAATATTCAACATTGACAGAAGGCAATGTGTAGGTTTCACTGCATGGCATTTAGTGGCTGCGACTTCTCGAGACTTCCACTAGCATGTGGATCAGATCACAATGATACTTTTGTTGTCAATCACTGGATTGTCTGGTCCAGCCTCAATTATTTACAGAACGCCATCATATAGCTTGAATATTGCTGAGTGCGGCGTTAAACAACAAACAATCAAAGCAAACATCTGTTGTTACAGAGTGTATGACTTATATCCCTTACTAGCTTGAAGGCAATTCTTGAGAAATATTGTTTGACCTAGAAGCTCCATGATATAGCTAACTATAAAATTGACGGAAAGTGACCATTTCTCTATACAGAGTTGGATGATGGGAGTTATAGTGTTTCCTCATTACTTGTTCCTAGGTTACTATCTGGCCACCTCTGCTGAAGACTCGGTCGTCAAACTCTGGGATTTGAGGAAACTGAAGAACTTCAAGACAATCCAGCTTGATGACAGTTATGAGGTAAAATAGAGTTGTCTAGAAACACTGCAATCAACCCTGAGCATATACAGCGATGTTGTGGTTATTTGTCATGTGCAGGCTGCATAATATCTGCATAATATCTGCATAATATCTGCAAGACATTGTGTTTAAATGGTTAAATGATTAAATGGAGGGCTTGTCTCTTAAGTGGTGTCACACAGCTAATAATAATCTTTGGTACACTGTCTTTGAGCCTGTCTGTATGGAAAAGGCAATGATCCCATCCCCTCACTGTATCAGACACTGTAGATATGGTCGGGGCGGCGGGGTGGCCTAGTGGTTAAAGCATTCGCTCGTCACTGACAATGGGTACAATGTGTGCAGCCCATTTCTGGTGTCCCCTGCCGTGATATTGCTGGAATATTGCTAAAAGCGGCGCAAAACTATACTCACGAACGAACAAACGAACTCATGACCGATATGGTAGACATGGTAGATGATCTTCTAAACCCTCAAATGAGTAAATCAAACTTCCACCGGATTGTTACAATATATTCAGATACTGAAAATAGCTGGCTTGGTATCAAGGGACTAGTTCATGACACAACATCTAGTATTGTCTGCATGATGCATTGTGTATGCAGGCCTCCAGCCATGACTGTGTTGCATATCTCTCATGTCCATCTGCAGGTGAAGAGTCTGACGTTCGACCAGAGCGGTACCTACCTGGCTGTGGCAGGATCGGATGTCAGGTAACTTGATGTAGTCACATGTGGTAGTGACAAGTCTGAATGGGCTTGTTAAGAATGGCTTGTGTCGTATACATTACCTGTACTGACGACAAGCTTGATGCCTTTACCAATTCATCCAGTTGTCATGGTAACTTGTGGGGATTCCCACACAGATTAGGTAACCAGTGCCTGTGCATGTCTCCCTGTGGGGATCCTGGGACAGACTTTGTCTCTTGGCGTGTCTCCCTTGTGGGGATCCTAGGACAGACTTTGTCGCTAGTGCCAAGGGCTTGTCTCCCTTGTGTGGATCCTGGGACTGGCGTAATCTTTAGTGCCCTTGGCATGTCTCCCTTGTGGGGATCCTAGGACAGACTTTGTCTCTAGTGCCCTGGGCTAGTCTCCTTGTGGGGATCCTAGGACAGACTTTGTCTCCAGTGCCCTGGGCGTGTCTCCTTGTGGGGATCCTAGGACAGACTTTTTCTCTAGTGCCCTGGGCTTGTCTCCCTGTGGGGATCCAGGGACTGTCTTTGTATCTAGTGCCCAGGGCGTGTCTCCCTTGTGTGGATCCTGGGACTGTCTTTGTATCTAGTGCCCAGGGCTTGTCTCCCTTGTGTGGATCCAGGAGAAGAGTATGTACCAGGTAGACTTGGCATGCTTTGTTTCCTGTTTATTTTGGTAAATGGTACCCAGTACCCTATGCTTGTTTAAAGACCAAAATGTTGCCACAGTAAATAGCTACAATTATTTATTTTACTACAGTTTTGAGCAATGTTCAGTCACTCACTCTGTAAATAATATTTTTTTGTCATGTTCCATTTACTCTGTTGTCCAATATGAAGTGATGTCATCATGCATGTCACAGCCATAATTGCTTTGTTCCAGAGCGTACCTGTGCAAGCAGTGGAGTGAACTGGCGGTGTTCAACGACCACACAGCAGCGGCGACCGGCATCCGCTTCGGGGACAACGCGACCTTCATGGCCTCCTGCAGCATGGACAGATCCCTCAAGTTCTTTGGCATGCCTTGAGTTGGGAGATCATGGGTGTTCATTTGTACAGATCTTGATAAAACTTGCTTTTATCTGTGCTAACAGTCTTGTGAATAGAAAATCTCCACTTCTTTTAATAAGAGGATAAAGTCAGTGCCAACTTCTCTCTGTGCCTAGTGCTGCACAGACCTACCTAAGATCAATCAATCTCTTAATCCATTTTTCTGAAAGGCACTTTGATACGTTCATATATTCTTCGTTAATGTGAAAAGCAGATCAGCCTGTTTCATGAATTGTTAAATATTGTTTGGGCAGCTTTTTTTGCAAGTAAACAGTACACTGGGACAACATTTTGAAAACGGATGTAAATTGCTTTCATGTTTTTACTGCTTCATTGGGCAAGAAAAACAGGATGTTCTTTTAACCTGAAAAAGCATAAATATGATGATGAATTAAGCTTGTCTTTGTACAGTGAAGTATTATGTACTCTCTGAGCTGATGGCTCCGTAACAGATTGAGCGATGCCTATTCACAAGGCTGTCTTTGATACAAGTGTCAGTAGGACTTGTTAATGGTAAGATAACCATCAACCACTGTATGTATTCATGAAGAGGGGTTTCATGCCAGGGTGTTTCAAGCTAGGCGGTCTTAGTCTTTGAGACTGCCATACGATCTGACCCCTGACCACTGACCCCCTTAGTACACATGGACCCCAAATATTAAGCAAAATGTGCCCCTCGACATTTACACTTTTGCATCCCTTCATCCTTCACATCATCATCAGGTTGCAGCTAAGCCAACTGCTTTCCTAGTTTGTTAACAGATGTGGAGGATTCACACAAGCGTTGTTCGAAATTTAAGCACGAAAGTGAAGACATCTCTGTCTTAGTGGTAAATGAGTACGAGTCCTTAGATTCACAAGCTGCAACAGCAGACTTCATGGACCAAGGAGCTCCTTAAGTTTGAATTTGTATAGGAAGGCGCTATTGCTAGAGAGACATTTTCCTTGAGTCAAGGGACCAGTTACACAAAGTGATCTTAGCGTTACCATTGTAGTAAGTCTATGTTAAAGTATGGGAGATACGATTTTAGCGCTAAGACTTTGTGAGACAGGCCCTTGCTTTGCGGACTCATGACTCTGCTAAGATGGGATCCATGGGTAATCCCTGTTGTTGGCAGACAGCAGGTGCCCCTCATCCCTTTAAACAGCGGTCATGTGATTATCATGTGGTTATCATGATTTTCATGTGGTCATGTGATTATCATGTGGTTATCATGATTTTCATGTGGTCATGTGATTATCATGTGGTCATGTGGTTATCATGATTATCATGTGGTTATCATGATTAACATGTGATTATCATGATTATCATCAACGGCTGAAGAGAGATGAGCCTAAGCTTGATGTGACCATGTATTCATACACAAGTAAAGCCTGTTTTGTTGAGGTATTTCATTGTATCAGTTGTTAACATGCAAGTTCCGGCTCATTTTGGATGATGGCCATTGATGCGTTATGTACACAAACTTTTACCTTTTTAACTAAGAATGTAGATTTTGATGAGAAGTTCACATGTTGTTTGAAATGTTGGTTCTCTGACAATGAGGGGCGGTCGGGTAGCCTAGTGGTTAAAGTGTTCGATCGTCAAGCCAAAGACGCGGGGTCGATTCCCAACATGGGTACAATGTGTGAAGCCCATTTCTGGTGTCCCCCGCCGTGATATTGCTGGAATATTGCTAAAAGCGGCGTAAAACCATACTGACTCACTCACTCTCTGACAATGAGACTGGAGTACGACATGACTGTTCCTCATTTATTGTGAATTGAATTGAGTCACAATCTTTCACATGAACCAGTGAGCATTGTGACAAGCCTTGCTGATGTAGGTGGTTTATATCTGTTCTTGTACTTAACTGACAAATAGCACTGTTGCTGGTGTAGGCGTCATAGGCTTAGTGCTGTCAACATTGGGAGCATTTGACTTAATTCTGATTAAAAATAATAAATAAAAATAAATAATTAAATTAATAAGTTGTCCCCCAGAATCATCGCATTAAACTATCATCAGCACCACACTTTGATAATATTGATTGTTTGCATCATAGGGAAGGGTGATCAGGGGTAGAAAAGGTCGTAAAAGGCGACTGTGCTTGTCGTAAAAGGTGACTAACAGGATCGGGTGGTCAGGCTCACTGACTTAGTTGATGCATGTTATCGTATGCCAATTGCGTGGATCGATGCTCATGAGGTCAACCACTGGATTGTCTGGTCCAGACTCGATTATTTTCAGACCGCCACCATATAGCTTGAATATTGCTGAGTGCGGCGTTAAACAACAAACAAACAATAGCCCAGTGGTTAAAGCATGGACATTTACACTGACGACCTGTGTTTGATTCCCTCATGGGTAGTGAGTGAAACCTGTTAGTGTATCATGTCGCCATTCTGTGTTCATAAATACACTGCACCCATTTGTACCGTAATCGTTTTGAACCCGAATCCTTTGGCATGATGCCAAAATAGCCATCCAATCAAATAAGCTCTGTACAAAGTTAACGATAGGGATGCAAATAGTGTTGATTATGAAAATAGAGTGCAAATTGATCCATTCAAGCCTTCCTTGCGGTCCGAGTTATGGCTTTATATTGGACTGTTATTGTAGTTAGGTCACTTCAGACAGGAAGCTATTGAAGTGATGGGGTGCAGGGTATTTATTGTGATGAATGGAGATGTCATACCCTGGATTACTGAGGATGGTAACTGGTGTCCCCTGCCTCTATATTCCATTGTCATTGAACCCAATTCACTCCTTGAGATACAATATTTTTCATGTTAATTTTAATATGTCTTGATCATCGTACACCTACCCTGGGTGTTTGTCCAACTGGTGGTTGTAACAGATTCTGGCTCTTGCTTTCTATGTTAATATGTGAGGGCGATTTCAACCTGCTGAACATGTTCGAATATTCCATTTGTAAATTGGTTCCATAGTCATGTTGGAAGGAGATACATTTTGCTGCAACATCGAGATTGGGCAGAACTGGAAAGTGCCCTGAAAACCTTCATTTATGTTTTCTGTGACAGTAAATGTCAATTTTAACAGAATAAATCATGGTAATTTCATTTTTGGCTTTGTTGTATTGAGAATCCACCCGAGCGTCTTTCCGATATTAATATCTAAAGAGGAAGTGGTGAAAGTTACAAATACCCGAGGCTTGCAGTCATTGATATCAGCAACCATCCATGCTGTTTGATGGGATGACTTGTAGTTAAACAAGTCACTGAGCCTTACAGCCCGTCCATTAAGTCTCTAGGTAGGACAGTCATACGGGACCTTGAAAAAGGTGGCCTGGTCATCAAAAGCACCTTATGCTTCAAGGGTGCGTTATATCCATTGTTTCGAGGGCTCGTTATTCCTCATCATGATGCCAGCACCGCAGGTTCCACGAGAGGTGAACCCGTGAAGATCCTGGGCAGAATAGGGCTTCAGCAACCTGTGAAGATCCTGGGCGGAATAGTCTTCAGAAACCCATGCTTGGCGAAAAAAGAAAAAGGCGACTATGCTTGTCGTAAGAGGCTATTAACGGGGTCGGGTGGTCAAGCTCGCTGTCTTGGTTGATGCGTAACATCGTATCTCAATTGAATCGATGCTCATGGTATGAGTCACTGGATTGTCTGGTCCAGACTCGATTATATACAGACCGCCTCCATATAGCTGGAATACTGCTGAGTGCGGCGTTAAACAACAAACAAACGAGAGGTGAGAGATGCACGGTTTTCGATTTTGCATTCTCGCCCAAGGCGCAGTGGGTTCGTGAAACACGCCGTGTACGCACAGTTCAGCCCCCCGCCGAGAACGTTGAAATCCATATCACTGGAGTTGGAGGCTCTCACCTACATATACATGTAATTCGCTGTACAGTCTTGCTCCTGTTAACAACCCACGACAGAAGGATTGAATCCAGATATATTCTTGTTTAGTAGGCAGTATACCCGTGGTCGCGAGTTGTAAAGTTATTTCCGTTGTGAAGTCGTTATATGGCGCACATTTGTAGATCTAGCAATGAGTTTGAAATAAATCCTGATCCACACAGATTTGAATGATCAACTCCAACGCTGAACCAAGTTTTGATGATGGACTAATTGATCATTACGGCAATTATGTACTTTGACAACGGGACAGGCAAACTGTGGGTTAATAGATTGAGCAACGACCAGGGCTCCGTTTCACAATATAGATTATCGCGGGAACAGGTTTCTGAAAGGAGGGCTTTGTTCGGTGAAATCCTAAAAAACCTCGGCTCCACTCGGTTTATTCCGCTACCTACATAATACCCACAGGAGCATTCGTGTCCAACTCGTGTTATTCCGGGACAAGCCGAATAGCGACTCGTGTCCCTCTCGTGGCCATTTTTGCGACCGGGTTCCGTCTTAGCGCAAACGGGCATACCTAAAACAATTGTCAACTTGTTGCGCAATGGTTCACATATATTTCCCCATATATTATTTATATTTCAGATGCAATTAGAAGCACATCAGGACATGCGAAATTATACAGTATGATTGAACACATTTAACTGTGTCTTGGGTATATTTTTAGATGCAAGACATATGTAAAAACAGAAATTATTTCTGAGAGATTCTTTGACAAAGAACTTGAAATCAAACGCGCATTCTGATTGGTTTGTCGTATTTTCGCACATAACATTCATCGATAGGGGGACGAGTCTTCTTGCAGGTTACGGAAAGGGGCGAGTGGTGACGAATGCCACAGGAGCAATGGAGTAGTGATATTCATCGTAAACCGTATCACGCTAGAGCCCGCCGCATATAGTTCTCATAACAGACGATGCTCAGTTCCCATCAAAAGCTATAGTGATCATCATTTTTTAAGTGAAGTGGATGTTTTCCGTAGTTTTTTTGTACAATGTGTATCATCGACAGAATCTGGGGTCGGACACATGAGACCGACTTTGACACAATTTGTTTACAAGATAGCATTAATTTACGCTTAGATGTCGCGACCACACTTTCAAATCTGGATCTTCTTTTGCGAATATGTGAAACGGTAAGCGTTCAGGTTGCAATGACTCTTGGTCATTTCATGCACAAAACAACAGTTATTTGTCGAAACGAGCGAGCATGTGGCGCACACAGGAACTCGTAATTGGTCAGTCAAAAAAAATATACATACCCTCTCTATGTTAGTAGAGAATTCTTACATATAGGGGGTATATATTTTTATTTTCTGACCAATAACGGGTTCCTGTGGTGGCGCAGCTGTCAAACAAGAAATCGCGGTACAGCTTTTGCGTCATTATTTGGGGCTTGGTCCTTCAATGTTCACGTGTTGATCGTGATCTTGCAGCCAATTAACGTAGCGTACCACACATCATGGCTGTCTTTCCTCATCTGAGATTTGAATATTTTCTGTCTATCAGCATCATAAACAGAATGGCAGTATGTACAGTCGTTCGTCACTGGGGTCATGCTAAATCGCTTTGACAAACAGTCGACGCAAATATTGACAAAACCACTTTCGTGGTGGATTAGAGTACATTACGTTAATACAGTCGGGGAAAGAAAATCCTTGACCACTGGTCTGGAATGTTTTTTCAAAGTGGCTGCGTGCTATAAGGTCTAATGACACTAAGTGGTTGCACAGTGAGATGACATCAAAGGGTCAAGTCAACGTGTTGACCGCAACATGTCACGTGACACCCTCCATGTTGACAGGTCGCCTAGCTCTGATCTTGTAAAAGATTCAGAAATCCATGTATGGGTTGAATCGTAGTAACCATGACACCCACGTACGCCGACAAGTGTGAGGTCAAAGAATCCAAGGCCTAACGCCGCTTTTAACAGTATTCCAGTTATATCACGGCGTGTCAGCTTAATGTCAGGAAAGCCAGAAGTGATGAAGGTCTCAGACGTTTCCACTTCTGTGAAACCCACGAGCACGGATATGGTGCTGACAAACCTAGAAACATAATCGGGGCGAACCGGGATTCGAACCCACAATCATAGGTTTCTGGCGTGGCCAAGGGACGCAACTCTGCACAGCGAATCGCGGCGCCTTAGACGACTATGCCACCCGTGCTCCATGATGAGGATGATGATTATGAAGATGACATAATATACTCTTCCAAAGAAGAAACGCACAGGTAGTATGTAGTTCATTGAACCTGACTACACACAAAATCCGTTATATAAATTGGATATATGTTACTGGAAAATGTTGGTGGCCTGATATTCGACAAACGGTGAGTCAAAACGCAGCCATTGTCGATTTGCAATGTCTTAAACGGCATTGTTTTAACACTTGTTCAAGAATGTCATGGAGGAAAACAGTAACGCAAAATTCACGTTCAAGTTATGGCATTCGTAACTCGTGGTAGTGGCTATAAAAAGGCAAGCATGAGCCAATAATTTGTCATTCAATTGTCAACATTTTTCAAGTTCGAAAATGCCGAGACTCATCGCTGCCGATCGGAGCATCGCCATAGGACGTATCCAAAGAGGGGAATCGCAGTCTGCTGTTGCACGCCACTTCAACGTCTACCACAGCACCGTTTACCGCCTTTGGTACCGAGACACACAGTTCAATTCCACTGCAGACCGTAATAGAACCGGCCGACCAAGATGAACATGATCGCTACATTCGACTGTTCCACCTACGTCATCGCAATGCCACAGCTACGGAGACTGCAGGATGCATCCCTGGTTTGAGGAGGATAACGGACCAGACTGTCGGGAACCATCTTCGCGACCAGTTATCGTCCCTGTTTTGTAACAGATCCATCGAAAGCGACGCTTGCGTTGGTGCCATACCTTACAGCTTTGGAATTTAAGAAACTAGAGACGAGTGTGGTTTAGCGATGAATCACGATTTCTTCTTCACCGGCGAGATGGAAGACAACGTGTTTATCGCCGTCGAAATTAGCGTTTTGCCCCACATTCAGTACGCGAATTCGACAATTTCGGTGGCAGTAGTGTCATGGAGTGGGGGCCATATCTTACACCACGACATCTGACTTGGTTGATTTTACGCGTTATAGCTAATCCCACGCAGGCAAATTCATTCATTACTTAAACATGTAAACGCCTTCTATGGTACAAAGATGTAGCCATCAAGATGATCCCTGTTGTATCTCCTCGCTAGGCAGTAGCCACCTTCATTTGTGTTTTAGCGACTGATCGATATAAGTCTTATTATTAATTTAGGAGCTGTAAGACGATATGATCTTAAATCATCATTCATGCAAAACAAAAATACACTTTGCACAATCACAAACACACATTATTCAATTTGGTTTTCTTCCGTATTTCTTCGCTCACGGGGCTGTAGTACATTGTAAATTGAACGATAATTAAACAGATGTTCTAAAGTCATTATCATCCTGTGTCAATTACCAAATATGCACGACCCTGGCCTTGTCCCTAAATAATTATTAAAATTAGTTCCAAGCTTATGAGTGGATAAAGTATGACGATTGTGTGACGAGAGGGATGACTTCAACTTTCCAATAGTCAACTTTCCCTTCATGCCGAGCAATGTTCCAGCAGCTCCAGCCTTTGGTGTTTACATCTCGAAAAAGAGTGATACTCTTACTAGATGGATGCAGATCTCAGTGACGATACGATTTGCAATGAAAAATCGAATTATATCTGTTGAAATTGAAATTATGTATAATTTGGCGATACGCATAACCTACAGGTCTACCCAATGTATACATGTTTACTAGTATTCTTAAAAAATGGTGCGTGGTGCGCACCTATATACATACACTTACACCCCAACCCCCAACCCCCAACCCCAACCCCCTCCACACACGCACGCACGCTCGCACGCTCGCAAGCACGCACGCACACACACACACACACACACACACACACACACACACAAGGCAAGCTATTACAGCATTCGTTCGTTGTGAATACAATTTATCATCCAAAACTGGCTCCCACAGGAGATATCGCTTGGATGAGGTCAAGTGATTTATTACTTGCCCGTGAAGAGATCACCTGTTTAATAAAACATACAGCTTTATTACACATTGTGTAATATCAAAACGCGTGCTTATGTACTCTCGGAACACGTTTAACGAACAAATATTGGAAGCTCTCAACATCCCTTGGCGTATTCAACGACATTGTGTGTGGAGATGATAGATCACTGGGAGGAGCTTATGCACACTCGATTACCCCAGCAACCTTATTGCTAGGCTGACGTCACATGGCATTGTTTCGCCGATGGATCTTGCAACAAAATTCAACAAATTACGTCATCGGGTATTGTGACGTCATTGTAAACTTTGAGCTGCAAGGCCCCGTTCCACAAGGCGATCGTACTCTAGCGCAACGAGAGTCTTTAGTCTAAGTTAAATTATGTGAGTTGTGATAGCCTTAGCACTACGATAATTTTGTGGGACGAACGCCTGAATTCTAAAGGTGGACCATTGTATGATATTAAATTCATACGTTTCAACTTTTGACGTGTTTGAAGTATTATTCTGTTAAACTCAATTGGATTATGCCATGGATCGTGTAGGTGTCAGCCTATTTACACTCAACAGTATAATTCCAAAAACATTATAAATGACAAGTAATAAATAAAATACTAAACTCGCTCTCGTGTAAAACCAATTTTATGAAACTCGTGAATAGTTGTGGTATCTGACTCGCTTTCGCTCGTCAGATACCAGAACTATTCACTCGTTTCATAAAATTGGTATTACACGGGAGCTCGTTTAGTATTCTATATATCTACACTGTAGATATCGCTGCAATGAAATTACATCACAATGCTTTGCAGACAATTGTGACATCACTGGTTACCATGACGTCACAATCAAATGACATCACTAATGGCTCTGCTACTGAAGCTGTTAGCAGTACTTTTTACACTGAAGACACTGCTAATTATTGTCTACAAATTGAAAAAGTTGGAAGAATGATGTTGGATGATGAATAAAATCATACCCTCATGTCTTTTGATATAAAATATATCAACACTCATTGATCATTTATCATTGTTGATAAAAGTGGCAAAAATCCCCGGCAAGCCTCGGAATTTTTCCACTTTATCTACTCATGTTTATATATTTGATATCAAAAGACACCCGGGTGAGATTCTCTATTTATTTCCCCTTTCTTGGTGTCCCGACACTATATTGCTGTAATATTGTAAAACAAAAGTGCAATTGTTTAAAGCATATGCTGTTCTTCTCACTAGCTTGGGGCGGAGGGGTGGCCTAGTGGTTAAAGCGTTCGCTCGTCCAGGGATGCCCGGGTTCGATTCCCCACATGGGTACAATGTGTGAAGCCCATTTCTGGTGTCCCCCGCCACGATATTGCAGGAATATTGCTAAAAGCGGCGTAAAAACATACTCACTGACTCACCCACTCTCACTAACGGCCTCATTGCCATACGACGTGAACCTATTATTTCTTTACTACCATTTGGTTCAAGGTCCAAAGAAGTGTTTTCAAATTTACGGCGAACGTATACAACAACAACGAAATGAAACATGGCCCTGACATCATGTTTATTCGACCGATGTTTACATAGGTTCTTAGTGTCAGAGGAAATAGTGAACATCATGGTTCACGCATGGTCACCGCTAGAGCTGGTCACAAGAAGCAATGCCTATTCCTGTCTGAGCCTGCTACAACTCCTCACACAAACACTGTGTTTATCAGTGTAGTCAAAGTAGCGTACTTCGCGAGGAAAGTAATCTTTCAGTGACGCCGATTCAGTCAGACGTGAAATGTGTAATTTGTACATATTGATGTTTTATCGTCTACCCTGCTGGTCAAGATGTTGTTAAATCGGGGGTTTGTCCAGGATGACCGCTCAAGTACCCCATTCAGTGTGGGGGTGACCTTGGACTAATAGGTGAGTCTTGGTGGCTACCAGACAACATCCCTCCCTCTCTTGGTATCAGTCACGTACGCAGGGTGCGGAGTCACGATACGAGGGTCACGCAAGATTGCAAGGTAAATACAAGACTTTTTTTTGGCTTTTTGTTTTCAATATTCCAGCCAATAGTCGTCGGAGGATGCTAAGAATTTTGTCTTTGAGGGGCAATTAAAAGTGATACACATAAGGAAGAGAATTTATGAATGTCAACTTCTTTATTATGAGGAACACAACGTTTCGGAGTATATCTTCCCGAGGCAATGACGTTAGCTGACTTTAAAAGACCAGTTCCGACTATGGAAAGATTCCGGCCAGTTATCGTCGGAGAATACTAAGAATAAGGTCTTTTAGGCATTTAGAAGTGGGAGAACATAAGTACATGGCACTTTGTTTGGGACAGTAACTTCTTTTATTCTTTGTCACGACATTTTAAGAAACACTTCTTGCTTCTTCATCAGGTGAATCAGCACAGAAATATACACCGACACTGAAATATACACCGACACTGAAATATACACCTACACTGAAATATACACCAACACTGAAATATACACCTACACTGAAATATACACCGACACTGAAATATACATCGACACTGAAATATACACCTACACTGAAATATACATCGACACTGAAATATACACCGACACTGAAATATACACTGACACTGAAACATACATCGACACTGAAATATACACCTACACTGAAATATACACCGACACTGAAATATACACCGACACTGAAATATACACCTACACTGAAATATACACCGACACTGAAATATACACCTACACTGAAATATACACCGACACTGAAATATACACCGACACTGAAATATACACTGACACTGAAACATACATCGACACTGAAATATACACCTACACTGAAATATACACCGACACTGAAATATACACCGACACTGAAATATACACCGACACTGAAACATACATCGACACTGAAATATACACCTACACTGAAATATACACCGACACTGAAATATACACCTACACTGAAATATACACCGACACTGAAATATACACCAACACGGAAATATACACCGGCACTGAAATATACACCAACACGGAATTATACACCTACACTGAAATATACGCCGACACTTTTATATAAACCAGCACTGAAATATACACTGACACTGACATAAACAAAATCAAATCACAAAAAAGATTACCAACGTCTTATATCTTACGTTACATATTATTCCTATTTGCAAACAAGAACTTGTGCACCACAAGAGTGTGTTCATTGGGAACACCATCGCGAAATTAGATGTAGCTGTCGGGATATAACAAGTTGTTAATGTGATCGCTTCATCAGGAATAACCTACCGTGTATACTTCATTATGCTTCATTATTAATTTCAGAACCCAAACTATTGATACTTTTATATCAGACAGCATTTCTAATGTACGATTTACTGAACAATTAAGAAAATGTGCTATTATTATAGCAATCGATTTCATGAAACTAGTGTTGCCATGCATGACTATAGTATAAAGATCTATGTATAAATGTGCATTAGAAATTGATACTGATTCATTTGAGATGCAAATTAACTTATTTGATTTGTTCGCTGTATCAAAACTATCACCTATAAACCTATTCATTGTCGGTTATCAAGTGAACGATAGTATCTTATAATGATATGTGCTAAAATTTTACTCTTTCGAAATAATTAACAAATAATGCTATATATATTTTCTATGAACGACTTCAGCTTGATGACTGGATTATGTTGCTGCGACAACATCGAGGTTAATGACACTGACAGCTTCAATCATATTTCACCTCACCAAACATTCACTTTCGTCATGAGCGTGTACGCCCCTCCCCCCCCCCCCCCCCCCCCCCCCCCCCCCCGTAACGAAGGGCAATGTTCGCTGAGTTGAAATTTGATTGAATAATAATAATAAAAATAAAAGCGAGAAAACCCTTTCCAAATCCAATAGAATTCTCTGCATAAAGCAGAGTCGATTGTACGTTTCCGACTACATCATGACCATGTATTTACGAATCACTATCAAATAGTAATGACACCAGGTGTTCGCGAATAGGTGAGAGTATCCTGCCCCACCGAGGGCACCCGTCACCAACACATGAAAATTCAAGTCAATTGTCACTGAATCGTCAAACAACTGAGCCAGAGTCTAGTTAAACATAATAGAACAGTGTCAAAATTACTATTTTCTTCAAGTGTTTATCAAATTAAAATATATTCTACAACTTAATATCTAACATTCCCAAGCCAGTAAACTGGCAAGCTGCAGCAACCGGTCAAACGAGTTAGTATGCAATAGAATGTTAGGTCACTTCTCTAACACGCAGGGCACTTATTGACATTCTATGGACATTCTATACCCGGCTGACCAGCTCTGGATACGGCCGACCAGCCTAGAATAATCGACAAAGCAAACCATGACATCAACACTTGCATGGTAGGACCGGCAATGTTATTTTGGCATTGTGTGTTCAATGTTATTTTGGCATTGTGTGTTCAATGTTATTTTGGACAGTGCGTTAACCAGTAAAACAATATAAGCAATATCCGTAATTTGCTACCCGCTACATCACTTACAGATTATGTACTGACTATTTTTGTATTGAATGTGGATGCATTCAAATGTAAATGATTGTATTTTCATTGTCTTCATGACGTCATATGCTAAGTTGTAAATAAGGGACTCTGCCCACACTATTCTTTTATGGAAAGTTTACTATTGGAAAGTTGAAGTCATGCCTCTTGTCTGGTGGAGAGCTCTTTGTCACTCTAAATCTTTAAGCACAGATTTAGATTTGAAACAGATCACCATGAGGTGGTCTCACTGGTCTCCTTTATTTGTAGTTCAGAGTTGCGTCCCTTGGGCACGCCAGAAACCTATGATTGTGGGTTCGAATCCCGGTCGCCCAGATTATGTTTCTAGGTATGTCAGCACCATACCCGTGCCCGTGGGTTTCACCGAAGTGGTAAACGTCTGAGACCTTCATCACTTCGGGCTTTCCTCCCACATTAAGCTGACACGCTGCGATATAACTGGAATACTGTTAAAAGCGACGTTAAACCCAACTCACTCACTCACGCACTCTAGTTCAGGTGGGTAAATCAGTGGAAAGGACTTGGCTAGTTGATGGTTATTGAACGACATCACTTCATTGATATACCTAAAGCTTCAGTTAAACTTCTTGTCCAAATTGCCTTGTTTTGACTTTGCCAATCCGAGCCGACATTCTGATTCTTATGCATAAGGGGGCACGGGTGGCCCAGTCGCCTAAGGCGCGGCGATTCGCTGTGCAGAGTTGCGTTCCTTGGGCAAGCCAGAAACCTATGATTGTGGATTCGAATCCCGGTTCGCCCCGATTATGGTTCTAGGTTTGTCAGCACCATACCCGCCCTCGTGGGTTTCACCGAAGTGGCAAGCGTCCGAGACCTTCATCACTTCTGGCTTTCCTTCCACATTAAGCTGACACGCCGTGATGTAACTGGAATACTGTTAAAAGCGGAGTTAAACCCAACTCACTCACTCACCCAATCATATGCATGAAGAAACAGATCACCAGGAAGGGGAGCATAACTTGTGCCCATGGGGATGCCTACTTCTCGCTTAAATGTCTAACCACCACGTTGTACTTAGATGTAGACCGGTAAAACTTCAGATGGCATTTGCTTTCATGTTTGATAACTTTTCCTTAACCTCTAAAGATAAATATACAACTGTGTCTATGGTAACCACGTTTTACAACAAAAGCCCCGTGGATCGAGGAATAACGTTTTCCCTTAGGTTTCTTATGTGGGAGGGAGGTGTACACCGTTGGAAATCAATGGTTTTGTCACAATTGAACTTGGTTCCTTTCTGAGATTGTAAACAGTGGAGCAAATCCTTTGTGTTTTTGAGAATCTAGATGGTATTAATTCCACTTGTCTCATAAAATCTGCGAATGTAAAGACAGTTCCTTGAATGTATTAGGGATTATGGTTAATCATTGTGACAGAGATGTTGGACCCAGCAATATAAATTTATCTCTCGTGTACGGATATTTATGGAGTTTTGAAATCCAGAAAAAAAGAGGAATGGTCAAGTCTTTGGGCTTCAGAGTCATGTGAAAAGTTGATGGCACGGATGCATGGTTTTGGCAGTTCATATGTCACTTACACCAGGTTCTTTGAGCAAACAATTAATGTAGTGATTCTCACATATTATGGTATTGCTATTTGAGGCCAAGTCAGTGAGAACAACACCGAAGGTTTCATGTAGTGCAGACGGTTTTTGAATGACAGCGGACTGGGTCACAATAAGTTTCCTCTTTTTCCGTTTGTGCTTTCTACAACTGACTTGGCCGACTCTGAAAGAGTGAGTGAGTGAGTTGGGTTTAAAGCCGCTTTTAACAGTTATATCACGGCGTGTCAGCTTAATGTAGGAGGCAAGCCAGAAGTGATGCAGGTCTCAGACGTTTACCACTTCGGTGAAACCCACGAGGAGGGTATGGTGCTGACATACCTAGAAACATAATCGGGGCGAACCGGGATTCGAACCCACATTCATAGGTTTCTGGCGTGCCCAATGAACGCAACTCTGCACAGCGAATCGCGACGCTTTAGACGACTGGGCCACCCGTGCCACCTCCACTCTGAAAGACATTCAACAGGTTCATCAAGTTAAGTTGTTATCCAAATTTGTAGGACGTTGCTCACAGTTTTTCTTCCATATTTGAATCATTGACGAAGGCATCAATAGCAATTAAGTGAATCTTACATATACATGGTAAGAAGTGTTTGCAATTAAATGTTCTTTCTGACAAAGGTTACCCTGAATCAGTCGCTACGACAATATTGAAATATTTGCCATTGCGAATTTTCTTTTTTCTCAATTTTTATTATCTAGCAGTTATATTAGCATTCTCAACATAAATAATAGTTTGTTTGTTTGTTGTTTAACGCCGCACTCAGCAGTATTCAAGCTATATGACGGCGGTCTGTAAATAATCGATTCTGGACCAGACAATCCAGTGATTGACATCATGAGCATCGACCCACACAATTGGAATCGATGACATGCATCAACCA